AACTTAGATTTAATGCAATGTTATAGTAAAATACTGTTATATTTACAGCTATATTAGCAGTGAAAAATAACAAGTAATCTTACAATTTACAGTGGAAAACTGTAAACTGTCATTCCCAGAATTCCCTGTGTGACGGCCCTACATTTGATGGTTTTTCATTTAAATAACTGTTTCTTAATTATTTGTTATCAGACATGCACATTAAGGTTTTGTGTTATGTCTTATGTTGTTAAATGAATGTTCATTGCATTATTTTAGTGTTTAAATGGTGTTTTGTTTGTTTGCACATTGTGTTAGTTTTTACCACAGCTTTTGGAAAAGCTATTTGTGATGAGCTTTGATTAATCGTGTGTTTTTCTCTTTACCACCTGATCGTCAGTATATTGTAAAGGTAAAAACAGATTTTAATAACAGCGTAGCCTTGATAATTCAGCAGAAAAATACTTTTTTTGAATTGTAAAATGTACAGTTTTTGTAAATATGTTTACACAGCAGCCAGTTGTTGTTGTTTTTTTTGTCTGTAAAAAATGACAGGATATTTTTACAGTATGGCATTGTAAAACTTACACTACAAATGTGCTAATTCTGCTGTGTCTCACACCGGACTGTTTTAGGTTTATTCGGGGTTGTTTTTTTCTCAAATGATCTTCTCTAGCCTCAACATTCTTTGTGTGCTTACGTGCTCCACACACTGTGGGCTACGACTGATTTATACTCCACGCTGTTCAAGGGTATTAGAAATGCTGACAACTCTCGCTGCGAGGCCTTGGAGGAGCCGATCTTAACAAGTGACCATGGAGCTGGACTCTTGGCAGAGATGAAGTTAAGAACAAGTTCACAGCCAGAACACATCAGTGTCCGAGAAATTAACTTAGCTTGCAGTGCATAAAACCTTGAAAAGAGAAACATCTAAAAATGTTCTTCGTGGCTTCAAAAACACCATTAAAATATCATACAACTTAGTTCCATGTCTTCCTATGTCATACCATAGCTTTTAGTACCTGATTATAATTTTGACTGTGGTCTTATTCAATATTATATTTAAAGTTAATATATTTTAAATGTACTAAATTACACCTTCATCTTTACAAATGTGTAATTACAAATATATTTAAATACATGGCATACCAGTTTCAATAGAAATGTCATATTTTAGTTTATTATAAATGCTTGTCATTCAGCAGTAACACTTTAACCATATTTCAAAGTCAATCGAAGTAAATATTAAATTACATATAAAGATGTACTTAATTAAGTCCTTCTTAAGTGGGTTTAAAGCACTCTAAAGTTCAGCTAATTGCATTTAATATACATTTAAACTATAATACATGTACTTGTAAATAACATGCAATTAAAGGGACAGTTCACCCAAAAATGAAAATTAGCCCATGATTTACTCACCCTCAAGCCATCCTAGGCGTGTATATGACTTCCTACGTTCAGACGAATTCAATCGGAGTTATATTAAAAAATGTTTAAGTGTGGATGCACCATCATGCAAAATTACTCAGAGGCATGTTTATCACCTTCGATTAATTTATACAACATAAAGTGTCTGAAAATGTGGGTGTTACATTTATATGAACTTTTATATGTGGTCTACAGTGGACATTCACATGCATTAATCTGGTACACTCTTCACGAGAATAAGGACAAGAAATAAAAAAAAAAAATAGAAAAAGTTAATCCATGGGAGAAAATATTTCTAAAACAATTTCCATATGTACCAGAGTAGAATAAAGTGCAAAAAGGACAGTTACTCTGACGAGGAATAGTTCAGAAATATAGTCAATTTTTGCAATGGGTGCAATACAATGAAATGTTGTCCTCCAAATGAATGATCACACTTATTAGTAATCCTCAGGAGTAATGGAGCCCAGAGCAGTTCCAGTGTAACAATGGCTCTCATACCAAGTCAGAATGGACAAACAAACTTTATTTTTTCCCTTGTAATCCCCTTTTTCAAATGCCAGTTGTTTCTCAGTTTCTAAATAATATATGATTGTGCTTCGCATGTGTGTAGGTTCCCATTGTGTGACAGTAAAGGCTTTCAGGATCTCATTAAGCATGCACATTTTATAGTGATTTTTGTCTTTTGTCATAACAGAGTGACAGTCAGCTTCATAGGAGCGCAGTGTTTAAAGGACATGAAATCCATTCAGAAAGAAAGATCTTTAAAAGCCTCGCTTGCACATGACTTGAGTAACAGGTGGTGGACGACAGAGCCAGTTTAGACCCACTGTAATCAATGTACTTTTTATTGTAACTACAATAAATAATTCAATATTTGTTTAAAAGACATTTAAAGAGCACTTGTGTGAACAGTTAGTTGTTTATTTTTGTAATGAAAGCAACAAAAGGTTTTGGATGAGATCTATGACAGTATATGAACTAAATATGCAGGTTTAGTGAGAAGATTTTTTTTTTAATTCTTCTGTGAAAATTGAATGCATTTCATTTTCATTCATTTACCTCCCACAGACCCAATTATTGATATTGATTAAATACAAACTTGATGTAATGACTTCAGATGTTAATTGTATGTTAATTGCAATTAAGTAAAAATGTTTTATATTTTAAATTTAGATTAAATGCAATTAGCTGATCTTTACACTGCTTTCTGACCCACTTAATTAGGACTTAAGTACATGTTTATATGTATTTTCATAATTATTTCTATTGTCTTTGAAATATGGTTCAAATGTACTGACAAATATACTGACAAATGTATTAATTTTGTAATTATATGCATTTGTGAAGTTTAGTACATTTAAAATATATTAATTTTTAATAGTATATCAAATAACAAACAGTTAAAATTCTAATCAAGTAATTTACATGTGCTTTAGTCAACACATCAAAATAAGTGTACTTCTTTAAAACACGACAAAAGATTATTAAAACATAATTATTTCAAATGCACTTTAAATTAAACGTTTAATTTAATATTATTACAAAGTGCACTTTTTAAAAGTGTCCTTAAGTGTCAAGAAACAGTCATAAAATTGTATCTCTTTAAGTTCACTTAGCCTTTTATTTCATTAATATTATTTGTTCTGCAAATACAGTTTTTTAAATATATTTTTAAGATTTGAAGTACACTACAAGTGCACATTCAGTACAGTTAAGCATACTTCTTTTTCACAAAAGTGACTTGCTATGAGACTCTAATTATAGGGTTGATTCAGGATCATTTTCCCAGTCATCACAATGTTAAAAAAATGTGCCAACTCCCCCATTAAATGTGTTCCTCCCAAAACTGTTATGATAAATATTAGACTGTGAGCTGCACTTGTATGGTGCTCAACCCATATTTAGTCAATCAAAAAGATAAATAAATAGTATTTGTAACAATTGCTGCCAGAGTTTACGGTGAAGGTTAAAGGATCATTTGAATGGCAGCTGCTTCAGCCTCAGTCATGTAATAAGCTACACTTCCTGTTTCAGCTCAACGTCAAGGTTGTTAGGAGAGAGAGAGAGAGAGAGAGAGAGAGAGAGAGAGAGAAAAGAAAAAAGATTTACACTGATGGAGGTACCAGAAGATCACAGAGATTTTGACTTGGTCCAGTAAGCAACCTACAACCACCCAAAAAATCCAATTGCATAGCAACACACTAACAACCACTCAAAACACCCTAGCAACCACTTAGAAACACCTTGGAAACCATTGTGGCATTGAGCACTACTCACATTTCACATCACGAAATCTGAAATTTGAGGCTGCTCAGCTTCTGTCCTTGAATATTCTATTTTCTGTTATGCACAGTACAGTGTTAAAGTAGTATTGATACTGCTTCATTATATCAAATGTATTTAAGTTTAAGTGATAAGCTAAACAGCGCTTTTAAGTCAAAGAAATGGAGGGGCTATTGTAAAACTAATTAGTTTTCCTGTACTTCCGTCTTTCAGATTACCTTTAAAAACCAGTTGCCTTTTTATTTATGTTATGTCAATGTTATACTTGATATGTAGTGTTTTTATTATCGTATTGAACTGTTGCTGAAGTCTGAGATCATGTTTTTTTTTTTTGAGAATTGGAAAATATTTATTATTTTAAGTCATGATGCTTAATAAAAGCCTTGCCAATCCTATATTTGTTCATTTTGTTCTCTCAGAACGGTAATTTCTTTGAAACATCTATTTGGCTAATATAAGCCTGTCACATGAACTCACTGAACACATAACACCATCATACAGTTGGTCAGAATGGGAAATTTTGATAGGCATGCGTGAAATTATTTATTGTTATCAAGGCAAAGTGCTGCATAACTACGCATTTCAGCAAATGTGACAGGAATTTTCATTGCCATAAATCATCAGGCTCTTGTTATAGCTCGTTATATTCTACATATTCTCCAAAATTAGCTTTAGAAAGGCCAAAAACCCAAGTGAGCGATCCAATGGCAATAATGGCCCGTAAAAACTTCCTAAGATGTAAAGATGAGAACGAACGCCTGAATTGTTCGTCCTCCTCTGGCTCATATGCATTAAGCAATTTTGGACAAAAACACACACAAAAACAAATCACCAAATATAATCCAGCCACAGAATGTTATAGGTGATGACCTAATATCTGACAATCTTTATTATTTTAGGACAGTTTGCTGTGTTGCATTCTCTAAACTATTGATGACTAACCACTCTTGTAATACAGCTAGTCATCTGTTTAAACCATGCTTTTGTGTTGTTTCTCAATAAGCAGGCCTACTAGCTGATCTAAGTAGGGGAGGCCAGGGTGTGTTTACTATTTTCTACCTTTTTGGATAATAGAACTTGTTTTGTTTTGTTTTTTTGTTTTGTCAAATTTATACAAATGTTCCCATCATTCCTACTGATGCCTCAGTTGGTTTTAACAGCATAGTTACTGAGATACAGACGTTAATATTCACAAATACATGGTTTTGTTCACGAACTAAACAGAAAAAAGCCCTTCCCAAGATGGCCGCCGTTCCGGGTCGTGAATTTGACTGGCTGACTGACGCAACTTCCGCTCTCGACTCCTCCTTTGTCTGAGTCCTTTCGGTCCTCTGCCTAGTTATTTATTTATTTCCTTTTCGTTTGTGGGGTATATTTTTATATATCCTTATCTCTCGGTTTTTGAATGACATTCGATTCCGACACATATATGCCTAAAAGCAAAGCCCCCAAAATGGATGATCTGGACTACAGTAAGTAAAGCTGGTTTAGCCCTGTGTTTTAGTGACTGCTTATTCACTCGAGCTTCATGTAGAAGGATGCTAGGGTTCTTGTAAAGGTTTCAACTCTACTGTCTGCCGTTTCTAATGGTTTCTACAGCTCTTCAGCAGGATTCATTCATGCCTGGCCTGCCTCAGGTGTTTACATCTGTAATGTGTCTGCTAGGTTTGATCAGAGACTGAATACATTCATCTGTGATTCCTAGTTTCTTAGAGACATTATGTAATATGTTACCGCTGTTCATCACACATGTTTTGGGTGGATGTTTCAGTGTCTTAAACAGATGCAGCCTTGTCTCATTTTTAGTATAGGATCCAACTTAATTGTGCTTGTCATCATCAGTCTGCATTCTTCATGCCTTACTGGAAGATCTCGAAGATTAGACCACATTACAAACCTGGGATTTTATCAGCTAAGAAACATTTTGGTCGTTTCTGTTTGTTTGTGGCTAATCAGATGTTAGTAGATACGTGTCATTGATCTGTGAGGTCTATTTTATTTACTGTTACTTTAATAAATCACTATTGCAACACCGTTCGATATATCCAAAATCCGCTCATAATTTAGTATCTTGGCGTCATGTTGAAAACGTTTGGTGTGAATGGGATGATTTTTGCAAGAGTAGTGTGCATTAATTCACAGCCTGATTTTTGACTCAAATGATTCTGCTGGTGAACATCATCATCCGGGTTTGTTCATAAAGCTCCAAGACAAAAAATACATAAACAAAGCATCTGTGTGCAAATTTAGAATTTGCAGATTTAATGACATATGACGGATTAATTTTTAATTTTTTTGGTAACTGTTTTAGAATACATTTTAACAAGTGGGGTACGAGATTGATGGTATTTTGGGGTTTACAAAATAATTCAGATGTCCAAATTTAAAATCGAGACAAACCCCACATTTTGAGACATTTACAGATTCATGTTATTATTTTTTAATATTATTTTAAACCAAAAGAAAAAATATATATTTTAAGAATTTGTGCAAAATGAGGATTTGCAGACGAAACAAAAATAGGTTTAAATGACAGATGAAATGATAAAAAATTGGCTTGAATTGCCAGATTTGTAAAAAATCATTAGCTTTTGTTTTAAAATTTTGCAACTGCTGTTTAGAATAAATCATGGCTTATTTTGTACCCTTTTTAATTAAAATACTTGAAACAGGGTGAAGTTTGGGGAAAAGGGATTGATGTGGGTTGCTATTTTTCATTCAAATGTCCAAATTTAACACAATTGTCATGCTGATATTTTGAAGTGCAATGGAAACAAATTGCATTAAGTAGAAAAATGCAAAGTAGAAGCATTTCACCAGTGATCTCGCACTTTTCACCCCATTGTTCTGTATATCACCGACTCTGTTCAAAAAGCAGAAGCTAATAGTATCACGTTTTTTATTTGAAGCGATTAGCTTGAGGATTTGATCTGAGGATTGTGAAATGTGTTTTGCGAGGAGCGTCAGAGTATGTGTCTCTGCCTACAGGCGCTGCTTTCTGAGCTGCTGTGGGTTTGGCTCTGTTCTGTCCTGGCTTGCTCTCTTTAAACCCTCCAGCTGGTGTCGTAAGAGTCCTCCGTTAGTTCACAGATAGCCTGAATGCAAAATAAACAGTCCCCGCGCATGTGTGCTGGCCCCAATCCTGTTTGCATTTCCATCTCACATCATAAAGTGAATGATGTTAGACACAGGCCAGCAATTGCTGACTGTCCACTAGAGCAGGAAAACGAGAGACTGTTAACATGGGAAACTGTGTGGATTGGTGTGAACGAGGCCTGGATGTATAGAGAATAGAAAAAGAACTGAAATGCCTATCCAGGACCCCGTGTCCTCATTTGGCCCCCCTTTCTGTCTCTCCACAGTCCCAGCGGACCTGAGCCCAGAGGAGCGCTCCGAGCTGGAGGAGATCCGGCGCAGGAAAGGAGCGCTGTTTCTGGAGATCCAGCGACTGAAAGAGGAGCTGAGAGAAGCCATTATTGAGGTGGAGGGGCTGGAGAGCAGCACAGAGGGCAGGTTAGTTTCACATGAGCCTGTTTTATTGATGGGAACCGTCCAGGGTTTGCTTTATTTCGTTTTACAATTTGCCTTCTGTGATAGATAACACTCAAATAAAATCTCACACTCACACACACACACACACACTCACTCACTCACTCACTCACACACACACACTCACACACACTCACAGACACACACACTCTCACTCTCACACACTCACACTCACACACACTCACAGACACACTCACTTGCACACACACACACACTCACAGACACACTCGTACACACACACACTCACTTGCACACACTCACACACACACACACTTACACTCTCTCACACTCACACACACACACACACTCACTCACTCACTCACTCACACACACACACTCACACACACTCACAGACACACTCACTTGCACACACACACACACACACACATACACTCTCTCACACTCACACACACACACACTTACACTGTCTCACACTCACACACACACTTACACTCTCTCACACACACACACACTCACACACACACTCACTCACTCACTCACACACTCACTCTCACTCTCACACACACACACACTCGCACACACTCACAGACACACTCACACACTCACTTGCACACACACACTCACTCTCACACACTCGCACTCACACTCACTCACAGACACACTCGCACACACTCACACACACACTCACACACTCACTTGCACACACACACACACACACACTCACACACACACACACACACACACTCACAGACACACTCACACACTCACTTGCACACACACACTCACTCTCAGACACTCGCACTCACACTCACTCACAGACACACTCGCACACACTCACACACACACTCACACACACTCTCTCTCACACACACACACACGTTATCTCTCAGTAGCTGTGTACACAGTACGGTCATTGACATGAACTTGAACTCTCCATGCTGTAGGACACTCAAAGCGAGTCCTTGTATTTCACACCTGAAACGTGAAAACAAGATTGATCTCCTCTCTGTTTTTTGTAGTAAAACATTACAGAAGAGTCGACATGTGGCCATGGGCAGGAAAAAATTCAACATGGACCCGAAAAAGGTAAGCCACCCTGCTTTGAAAAAAAAAGTTTGCCATTGTTTACCAGCAATAATATCACATGGTTACATTTTAATATATATATATACACACATATACACTATCGTTTAGAAGTTTGGTTAATATTTTAATGTTTTTGAAAGCCTCTTCTGCTCACCGAGGCTGCATTTATTTTCCCAAAAATACAGTAAAAACAATAATGCTGTGAAATATTATTAAAATTTAAAACAGCTGTTTTCTGTGTGAATATCTGTTAAACTGTAATGTATTTCTGTGATGCGCAGCTGTATTTTCAGCATCATTCCTCCAGTCTTCAGTGTCACATGATCTTCAGAAATCAGTATAATATGCTGATTAGCTGCCCGAGAAACATTTCTGATTATTATCAATGCTGAAAACAGTTGTGCTGCACAATATTTGTGTGGAAACCGTGATGCATTTTATTTCCGTGATCCTCTGGTGAGAAAAACACATTTATTTGAAATCGAACTCTATGCAACAAATGTTGTCATTGTTAAATAAAAGTATTAATTTATTTATTTTATTAACATTTAATCAAAAACATATAGGTTTCTCGGACACATAAAAATATGTTGCGAAAATAAAATATTTGTATCATATTAAATGTGACCCTGGAGCACAAATGGCAGGAGCATAAGATGTTTTGTTTTGTTTTTCACATTAAATCTTGTTGTAAAAATTGTTTCTCTGTATTTCCCTCTGTTTCACAGGGCATTGTGTTCCTAGTGGAGAATGAGCTCCTCAGACACACTTCAGAGGACATTGCCCAGTTTCTGTACAAAGGAGAAGGACTCAATAAAACGGCAATAGGAGACTATCTGGGTGAAAGGTGCTGTGAATTCATATCTGTTACAGTTACATGCTACAATTATCAAGGATTTTTTATGTGTTTTTACCCTGCAAACTGTCTTAACAGCTGAAGAACAGCACGCCTAACACTAAAAATCATTGCAAAATGCTAACTATATTATTGCCCAGCTCTCATCTGCCGGATGAAACAATAAGCCATGAAGATGTGTGACCCTGGAGCACAAAAGCAGTGTTAAGTCGCTGGGGGATATTTGTAGCAATAGCCAAAAATACATTGTATGGGTCAAAATTATAGATTTTTCTTTTATGCCAAAAATCATTAGGATATTAAGTAAAGATCATGTTCCATGAAGATATTTTGTAAATTTCCTACCGTAAATATATCAAAACGTAATATGCATTGCTAAGAACTTAATTTGCACAACTTTAAAGGAGATTTTCTCAATATTTAGATTTTTTTGCACCCTCAGATTCCAGATTTTCAAATAGTTGTATCTCGACCAAATATTGTCCGATCCTAACAAAACCATACATCAATGGAAAGCTTATTTATTCAGCTTTCAGCTGATGCATAAATCTCAATTTTAAAAAATTGACCCTTATGACTGGTTTTGTGCTCCAGGGTCACATATTAGAAACATTAGCATCATGATTTTCTATAAAGCTGCTTTGAAACAATGTAAAAAGTGCTCTACTTGACTCAATCGCACCAGACGTGTAGTTGATTGTAGGCTAGTCGTCCCTGCTGCTTATGTTTAGTCAGAACCAAACATATTAAAACAGAGATGTCCTTAAAGTATTCCTCTCGCTCTCTTTCAGAGATGACTTCAATATCAAAGTGTTGCAGGCTTTTGTTGATCTTCACGAATTCACGGATCTGAACTTGGTACAGGCACTTCGGTAAGTCAGCAAATGTTCTAGAGAGCTCTTGCTTGTTTGGTTTGCTTTGTTTTTATGCACAGAAAGTCTGGATGTTTTTGTAATTGTTCTTAAAGTTTTAGTGCAGTGCTTGTGTTCCTGATGCATTAGTGTTTCTGCAGGCAGTTCCTGTGGAGCTTCCGCTTGCCCGGCGAGGCGCAGAAGATCGACAGGATGATGGAGGCCTTTGCACAGAGATACTGTCACTGCAATCCTGGAGTCTTCCAGAGCACAGGTCACACAAACACACAGCAGCGGCATGCTTCCCATTTGTGTTATTTCATAGTTATTTTGATGCCTTTACTATTATTCGAATATGCACAGCATGTAGTCATAATTGTGTATGTGTGTCTGGTTTGACTGTTTGTGTAATTCATGCACACTCTCACACCAAGAACAGTTCGAGCACAAACCTGTTGCTACTTCTTTGAGTGTTTGTTTGATTGCTAGAGCGTTTGTGAACTCGGTGTTCTCCTCGCAGACACCTGTTACGTGCTGTCGTTTTCCATCATCATGTTGAACACCAGTCTGCACAACCCTAATGTGCGGGACAAGCCCACGGTGGAGCGCTTCATCAGCATGAACAGAGGCATCAACGACGGAGGAGATTTACCCGAGGAGCTGCTCAGAGTGAGTGTGCTCTACTGAACTGTGTACATGTTTTCAATGTTAAAATAATGAACATTTATGATTCATGCGATGCAAAAAACACAGAGGGAATCATGGAATCCAGTCATAAAAATAACATTTAAAGTGCATCGCGGAATGAGTTTGGAGTATTTTGCATGAATAAATCAAAAGTAGGTAATTAAATCATGATATGGACTAGTGTCTGTGAATATTAAAGTGCAGAAAGACTGCTTTATGAAGTCTGCGTGTCTCTGTGCCATGCTCTGTTTGAATGTACTTCTCAAAGTAATAATAATAATTCAATTACTAAAACTTTTTAAGACACGTCACACAATGTTTCTTCCATGTTTTAATTTTAACAGTAAATTGTTGTGCAGGAATTTCTGTGCGAAAAAGTAAAAGGAATTACATTTTTAAAATGTTAATACTATACATTTTTTTATGCCTTATTTTCAACATAATACACAATTTCTGAAAAAAAATGTAAACATTCCATAGCGCCCTATTATTGTAAACATTTGTAATAAATTATTGCATTGTGAACGTTTTATGAAATTCAATTGATTTGTTACAATTATATCAAATCTTTAAAACAGAAACAAAAAAAAGTCTTAAACTTCAACTGTTGTTGTATAAGTTTCATGATTTCAATGTTTTTTTAGCACTAAAAATTACTAATATGTGACCCAAAATAATTTGAGATTTATGCATCATGAATAAATAAGCTTTCCATTGATGCATGGATTGTTAGGATAGGAGGACAATATTTGGTCGAGATACAACTATTTGAAAATCTGGAATCTGAGGGTGCAAAAAAATCTAAATATTGAGAAAATCATCTTTAAAGTTGTCCAAATGAAGTTCTTAGCAATGCATATTACTAATCAAACATTAAGTTTTGATATTTACTGTAGGAAATTTACTAAATATCTTCATGGAACATGATCTTTACTTAATATCCTTATGACTTTTGGCATAAAAGAAGCTGCACATCACAGAAATACATTACAGTTTAACACATATTCACATAGAAAACAGCTATTTTAAACAGTAATAATATTTCACAATTTTTACTGTATTTTTGGGCAAATGAATGCCTTGGTGAGCTGAAGAATTGGGTGAAACGTTTGAATGGTAGTGTGTACTGAATGGACCCATAATAGCTGGTACTGTGTGTGTGTGTGTGTGTGTGTGTGTGTGTGTGTGTGTGTGTGTG